GTATCTTCCATATCTCGACTCTTAAGAGTTCTAAGACATTGCCCCCTTAAATATCGCCTTAAAACTTTCATATCTCAACTGTGATAACCCTCCTTAAATATTGCCTTAATACTTCCATATCTTGACTATAGTTCTAACTGTTCCTTGCAACTCTTCATTAAAACGTTCTTAACAGATAATGGCCACAAAACTGGTGTGTTACGCCGAAAGGCGGTTATACCGGCTATACAGATACAGATACAGAAAACATTGCGTTAAAGTGAATCCTTAATACTTTCCTTTAAAAAGCTCTAAAATAAATGTCCCTCCGCCACCAAACATTGCCTGAAAACACCTGAGACTTCTTGATGGTTAAGATAACCCTATACTCATAAACATTGCCTTAACACGGTAATCCGACGGTCTCACAGCGCCACCTCGCGTTATTAATCAGAATTGCAACACGTACTTCCATGCTCGTACTTCAGTATGTAAGGTAGAAGCGTACAGCGCTTGCCGCTCGTATGCGGCATTTCTCGCCTTTTTCTTCCCAAAATTAACGGCAAATATCTCCGTAGGCCTGTTCCTTGAAACTTTGATTTAAAGGTTCTAATCTGATTAAAAAAACTCCCCCAACCCCAAATATTGCCTTAACCTTAAGACTCCTTTCCCTGATAAGCAAGGTCTCAGCAGAAAATTGCCCCTCCCATCCAAGTATTGCCTTATACCTCCAGTTTATGGAGACACTTAGGAAGAAAAGTTATAATCAAATAATTCCCCCGTAAACATCACCTTGTATCTTCCATATCTCGACTCTTAAGGGTTCTAAGAAATTGCCCCTTAAATATCGCCTTAAAACTTTCACATCTCAACACTCCTTAAATATTGCCTTAATACTTCCATATCTTGACTATGGTTCTAACTAGAATAGCCAGCTCCCTTATATGGGCTGTTCCTTGAAACTCTTCTTTAAAACGTTCTTATCCCAAAACATTGCGTTAAAGTCTTGAATCCTTAATACTTATCTTTAAAAAGCTCTAAAATAAATGTCCCTCCGCCAAATATTGCCTGAGACTTCCTGATGGTAAAGATAACTCCATACCCATAAACATTGCCTTAACACGGTAATCCGACGGTCTCACAGCGCCACCTAGCGTTATTAATCAGAATTGCAACACGTACTTCCAGGCTCGTACTTCAGTATGTAAGGTAGAAGCGTACAGTGCTTGCCGCTCGTATGCGGCATTTCTCGGCCTTTTCTTCCCAAAATTAATGACAAATATTGCCGTAAGCCTGTTTCTTGAAACTGTGATTTAAATGTTATAATCTAAGATAAACTCCCCCATCACTAAATATTGCCTTAACCTTAAGACTCCTTTCCCTGATAAGTTCTTAGCAAAAAATTGCCCCTCCCATCCAAGTATTGCCTTATACCTCCAGTATATGGAGACAGGCATAAAAGCTATAATCAGATAATTCCTCCGTAAACATCACCTTAATGGCCCCAAAACATCGCGGATAAGTACTGTGTTCTGCTACCGTAAGGTCATTCACCTTTGGGCAATGACATGTGAGTGACCGAGTGGCATGCCGGGATAGTATCAAACTTCATATTAAAAACACATCGTATCAACGTTTGTTCATATCATATTTACATGCAAACCGTTTTTTTTTAATTGAAAATCTTAGAGAGCATTTTCAAATCAATGGTCCCACGTATCTCTGCCGATATATAACCACGTAACACACCAGCTTCGCAGGCACGCGGCGCGGCTTGTTACACCTAACCTCTGAACATCGATGACTTTAAACATTTATCTATTGAAATGACGATGCATGCCCCTACTGTACTTGGTGACACCGAGTGCCACTCTGTGATAGTTTCTACGGAAGAATGAGTTTTTGAACACCTCAATCCTTGGTTGCTAATTCTGGTACTTGAAGGTATGACCATGGAGGTAAAAGAGAGAAAGGAGGGAGCACGTATTTAGCACCCGCCGCGGCCTTTTGTTTTTCTACCTCCATGGTATGACCGAGATTATTTCTTGTTCTTTTTTAGCTGGTATTAGGTGTCTTTACTACTAACTTGCAAATGTAGTTAGTACATACTATACATCTACTAGTTTATTAGTCATTTTGTACAATCGTAGTGACTGCAATAGTAACACACGGCTCGGTCTGTGTGTAAACAGCAAATTAATCTTATCACGATCGATCTCTTGTACAGCAGAGTATAAATATGAAAGAAAATTCCAGATTGTTTTCCGCCATTTGAACTGCTCCACCCTAACCATTAGTCCACCATTGTTTATGCTAAATCGTGCGAAACAAATAGATTTCTACCACTCGCAAAAAGATATCTTGGCGGGCAGACTCTTTGAAAAAAACGGAATAAAAACAGTTCACGGGCGAATTTAAACAGTCTGGTAACAATTTGATTGAAATAAAAACATCTGGCAGGGTTTTATAAGTACAAAGGCAACAAACAAGTGCGTAGTAATTGGTGCATTGTGAGCGAGGGGGACAAAATGGCGGCGGGCTCATGAATATGCAAATTTCCTCCGGGCGCCCCCGTGCGATCGTCTTTTCACGTCCCGTTGTTGATGCTAGATGCAAATCAGACAAACTCCGCTGTTTTATCTGTTCTTGGATCTGTGGTAAATTTGTAGTACTAATAGCTCT